CACCCAAAACAGTTCAATTTCAGCTGTCTTAAACGTCTTACAAAAGTGAACAGAGGAATAGTAAAGTTTGACTGAATTAAACTAGATAATCTAGCCACTATCATTTTCCTGTCGCTTTTGATAACCATGTCAAGTTCACCTTGCAGAATAAATTTTATTCTTTCAGTCAGCATAGTTGTACCTCTGTGACTGGCAAAATTAGTTGGATTTTTTGTTTGTCAAGCAAAATTAGTTGGCAATACTGTTTCTAACTTAATGTTAGTAATAACTGATAATTCTTACTTATTTATGTGTTAGGTATGTTGTAAGGGCAAAGGCTGGAAAGAGGCAGTCTGGAAAAGATGCTACCGGAAAGGTTGCACACTCAGCGGGCTCCTCTCTCCGCCGCTATAACGAAGCAGCATTGAAAAAGGTAATGCGCAGCTTAGAGCATAAGTTTATTTGGGTGCTTTTTCACTGGAACTCTAGTAGATGTTAGCACCTGATTACAAGTTAGTATCCAAATTTGATCATGGTTTACTTATATTTCTTTTATTTGTTGCTGTTATTGTCGGTCTAATTGCAGGAAGTTCAAGAATTAATAGTTTCTTGGAAGCCATACTTTGACGCCTGTGTTTGTGTCTATATATACGCTCCATCAAAGAACCGCCAGATGCTCTTTGATGGGGATAAGGCTCAATTGGTATTGCAAGCATGTGATATTCGTCCACTCCCTTTGACTGTTCATCGGCCCACCTTGAAAGAAGCGAAACGCGTATACAATAACCTAACACAGCTCTATTATGAGACGGAATGCTCTATTATGGGTGAAGTATTACCCCTTGTGGAAAATGTGACAAAGTTTGAGCAAAGTACAGAAGCAAGGGAAGAAATAAGTGTGTCCCCTGAGGAACCTATTTTGGACTCATCGAATTCGCATGAAGCAATGGCTATACCATCTAATAATGCAACAACACCTCTCCATGAAGCTGCAAAGGCTGGCAATGTTGAACAAACTATGGAATTGCTCGAGCAGGGTTTGGATCCTTGTATCAAAGATGAAAGAGGAAAGACACCTTACCTGCTGGCTTCAGATAAAGAAGTCAGAAATACGTTCAGAAGATTCATGGCGCTCAACCTTGACAAATGGGATTGGCATGCTGCTGATGTGCCTAGTGCATTAACAAAGGAAATGGAAGAATCACAAGCTGCAAAACAGGTGAGTTTCATGTCCTGTGAATAAACTCTTCTTGTTCTCGTTGAATGAGGAAGAAGATGGCTGTGTAAATTGATCTGTAATTGTTCTTTAGGCAGAGAAGGATGCCAAGAAGAAAGCCAGAGCAAAGGAACTGAAGAAACAAAAGAAGGCTAGAGAGAAGGAAAAGGAAAAGGAAAAGGAAAAAGAGAAGGTTGGTAATGGTTTCATTATTATGATTGTTGTGAGTAAATATGACTGCATGTATATCTTATACTTGGTTGCACATGAATGCAATACACTATCTGGTGATATGTTGCAAGTACCATTCACTGGTTGCCCTTTTTTTAAACACCATTCACTGGTTGCCCCAAATATAGTGCTTTGCTTTGCTGGCGTTTAATTTGTTACTTATGCCAGTATACATTCATCACCCCTAGATATGTTTTTGATCTAGCTGCTTATGTCTGACATTTAATCCTTCGAAACTGCAGGTGCTAGCAGCGCAATCACAACCTGTTGCTAAAGGCACTTCAGTTGGCCAAATGGGTAAATCAACTGCTTCTGTGCCAGGCCTGAAACATAAGAATCCCCAGGCTGTTGCTCTTTCGATGCAGGTATGTACTAAAGGGCAACCATCTTAGGCTAAGCACATCTTTGGTATATTTTCAAACCACACACATATTTATATCTCGATTCACTGTTAATCAGGAGGAACGAGACCGGAAACTCGCCGACGAAAGAGAGAAGAGAGCAGCGGCAGCGGAAAGAAGGCTCGCGGCGCTAGCAGTTCAATCAGGCGGCACATCAGGGCCCCCGGCGGCGGCGGGCAGCTCCACGCAGACTACAGCAGCGGCAAACGACGCTACATGTTCATGCTGTTTCTCGTCCCTGGCAGGCAAGGTACCATTCCATAGGTACAGCTACAAGTACTGCAGCACTACATGTATGCATCTCCATTCAGAAATGCTGGAAGATGACTGAGATTTTTGTTGCCGTGGAGAAACATACCAAGATTTTGTGGTACCTTCGATTTTAATGAACTAGCCCGGAGCTGGCCCATCTGCCAGTTTTTGCTTATGTTTTCACGCCATCTGAACCGGTAGTTTTCTGGTTCTCCGTTCTGAGGTCACATGCTCGGTCGTGCGTGGTTGCTGGGTACCTACACGTGAGCTTTTGCCGAAATGACAGCCCCGAACACACTAGGCAGGGCTCCTCGACCGACCCCCTGCTTTTCACGCATCGTCGTGGCTACAAAACCTCCGAGCTTTTTCGCCGATTTTGTGACCGGCGCGACGGCAACGGCAGCGCACACCCAGTGGATGCCACGGCCCGTGACCTCGCCATGGCCATCTCCCCTTTGGCGCAAAAGGCGTGGCTGGCAGAGATCCATGGTGTCCTCGGCATCGGCCAACCACTTGGACAGCAATGGCCTCTCCGTGTGCATGCATGATCGCGGCGACGGCACACGTGAAAGCACCCGCTCACGGCTCACGTTGACATCCTCCCCGGAGCCCGGAGCTTTTATATCGGCGCTGGACGGCGACGCCGCCAACATTTCGAGCACCTGAGTTCTTGCTGCCGTCGAGTAGCTAGCCGCGGGATGTCGGGAGCGGAGCCATCGGCGGCGGGCAATGGCCAGCACGCGGCGGTGGACATCCGCGCAGCGGCGGCGCAGCACGAGGAGCCGAGGCAGACGTCCATGAGCGGGCCGCTCAACCTCCGGAGCGACCGGAGGCCGCCGCCGGCGCAGAGGGCCTTCAGCCGGCAGGTGTCCCTGGGCAGCGGCGTCACGGTGATGGGCATGGACAGAGGCGGGAGGAACGGCGGCAGGCCCGGGCAGCGCGCGCTCCCGCGCAGCGGCAAGAGCCTCGGTGTGCTCAACCACAGCGGCGGCCTCGGCCCGGACGGCGCCCCGCGCAGGGGCGGCGACTTCAGCATGTTCCGGACCAAGTCCACGCTCAGCAAGCAGAACTCCATGCTGCCGTCGAGGATCAAGGAGGAGCTCGACGGCGTCGACCTGGACCGCGTCGAGGGCCAGCCCGCCGGCAGGCCGGCCGACGTGGACCCTCTCAACAAGAGCGTCCCCGCCGGCCGCTACTTCGCCGCGCTCCGCGGCCCCGAGCTCGACGAAGTCCGCGTAAGTCATCCATCCATCCATTTGTCCTTGCCGGTCGCTGAAAAAATCATGCCGACCGAACTGTTTGCACGTAGGACTACGAGGACATCCTGCTGCCCAAGGACGAGGTGTGGCCGTTCCTGCTGCGGTTCCCGATCGGCTGCTTCGGGGTCTGCCTGGGGCTCGGCAGCCAGGCCATCCTGTGGGGCGCGCTGGCGGCGAGCCCGGCGATGGGGTTCCTCCGGGTGACGCCCATGATCAACGTCGCCGTGTGGCTGCTGGCGACGGCGGTGCTGGTGGCCACGTCCGTCACCTACGCGCTCAAGTGCGTCTTCTACTTCGAGGCCATCCGGCGCGAGTTCTTCCACCCGGTGCGCGTCAACTTCTTCTTCACGCCGTCCATCGCCGCCATGTTCCTCGCCATCGGCCTCCCCCGCGCCTTCGCGCCGGCGAGGCTGCACCCGGCCGTGTGGTGCGCGTTCGTGGCGCCGCTGTTCGCGCTGGAGCTCAAGATCTACGGGCAGTGGCTGTCGGGCGGCAAGCGGAGGCTGTGCAAGGTGGCCAACCCGTCGTCGCACCTGTCCGTGGTGGGCAACTTCGTGGGCGCCATCCTGGCGGCGAGGGTCGGGTGGGAGGAGGCCGGCAAGTTCCTGTGGGCCATCGGGGTGTCCCACTACATCGTCGTCTTCGTCACGCTCTACCAGCGGCTGCCCACCAACGAGGCGCTGCCCATGGAGCTGCACCCGGTCTACTCCATGTTCATCGCCACGCCGTCCGCCGCCAGCCTCGCCTGGGCGGCCATCTACGGCAGCTTCGACGCCGTCGCGCGCACCTTCTTCTTCATGGCGCTCTTCCTCTACATGTCCCTCGTCGTGCGCATCAACTTCTTCCGTGGCTTCCGGTGAGCACCACCCCATCCATGACCCATATCCGCTTGCACTCCACCGTCCGATCCGATCATCTGATGATCATTCGCCGTGTCAATTCAACAGGTTCTCCATCGCGTGGTGGTCCTACACGTTCCCCATGACGACGGCGTCGCTGGCCACCGTCAAGTACGCCGAGGCCGTGCCGTGCTTCACCAGCAGAGCCCTCGCGCTGAGCCTCTCCCTCATGTCGACGACCATGGTGTCGCTGCTGCTCGTGTCGACGCTCCTGCACGCCTTCTACTGGCGCTCGCTGTTCCCCAACGACCTCGCCATCGCCATCACCAAGGACCGGCAGAGCGGCGCGGGGAGGCCGCACGGCAAGGGGAGGAAGGCCGGCAAGAGGGTGAACGACATCAAGCGGTGGGCCAAGCAGGTGCCGCTCTCAGTCGTCTCCTCCATCACCAAGAGCAACTCTGCAGACAAGGAAGAAGAGGAGAAAACAGACTAGTTGTGCATACTATGTGTGATTAAACAGCATTACAGCATTCCATGGCTTGATCAGCATAAATAAGACACTTATAATACTATGTTAATTGTTGTAAGCTAGAGCTAGAAGGAACACTATCTATGGATTGATCACAAGAGAGCTGTACATCTCTTAGCTTATTCTCATTTCTCAGTAGAACTGGCATTATAGGGTGCAAAGAAAGCCCACAGGGTTCCACGTTAACTTCCAATCACAGAAAAGATAAACATACGACTCTTGAACAAATAAAATGTCTAAAAGGAGAACCGCCGCTGTTCGTCAACGTACATTGCGCACAATGAACTCACTTATTTAATACCTGCTGATCAACACAAAATCATCATCATCCAGAACCTGCACCTCTTTCTGTCCCACAAAGTTCTCCCGCCCGATTGCTTCAACAATCCGGACAAACTCGGTCCTCTTTTCAAGAGAAAGAGGGGCATACGGCCTCCTGAAAACTGGCCGCACTACACCGAGCTGAGCCAGGGCAGTGTTGAGACCAATCGGATTAGGCTCAGAAAATAACCATTTCATCAGAGGCTGTAGCTTCTCATTTAGCGTTGTGTTCTCCCCTTCAAACATGAGACTGCACATGAGACCAGGAACAAGGTTGCTAGTTACAGAAATGACTCCAGTAGCACCATATTTCCACCTTGAATCATGGCATTCGTCATCATTGCCACTCCATATTGCTATACCTTTGTCAGTGTAGCACTTCACCCGTTCATGTCCAACACATTCTTTCACTCCTGCCATGTTTGGATAACCTGAGAGAGCCTCAATGACCGCAGGAGGTATGTCCTGACCAGTCCTGGCTGGCACATTGTAAATGATTGTTGGACCCATCGGGAGTACTTCGTCGAAATGAGAGATCAGTCCTGCAGTTGAGGTCTTCCCATAGTAAGGATTGACATGGAGAGCTGCATGCATGCCAACAGCAAATCCCTGCTCTGAAGCGTGAATAGCTTCTCTAGTTGAGTTACTTCCCGTGTTGCCTATCACTTTAATGTTAGTTCCAAAGCAGTTAACAGTGTGCCCGATGAGCATGATGTGTTCATCCCAGCTCATAAGATGACCTTCTCCTGTTGTACCACCAACTATTACACCTTCAGCACCCCCGTTTATTTGTGTGTTTATCAAAGAATCATATGCTTCAAGATCAAATCTCCCATCTGGCAAATAGGGGGTTTTGACTGCTGTGATTAGTCTGAGACTTTTGATTCCATCCACTGATGTCCTGCAGGCAGGGAAAGATCAGATATAAGCAGCAGACATCGACATGTATCAAAGTCATCAAATACTTGTGTGCAAACAAGATGGTCCATGTTAGTCATGTGGCTACTAAGCAACTAAATCCCTCGGTTAGCCATTCACTAGGATTGTACAAGCATCATTTGTTTAGCAGAATGAACCAAGCATATAATATGCTTAGTTTAGACTCTCATATCTACAACAATTGACTAGATTATCGAGACAAGGGATAATTCACAAAAACTAGGTTAGTTTTACAGAATTGGCTTAATAAAGGAAGATAATAAGAAGTTAAGAACATCCTTTGTTTCTCTATTAGCAAAACAATAATTCAGGGGCTATACCTGGACTTATTGTAATTCGCTAGAGAAATGGTGCAGAAGTACATGTGGCAATTTAGCAAAAGGTACAAACTGCAGAAGATAATAGTTATGCCAGTGGGCCCTGATGTTACAACAATAAACCGAGTGATGGTTGAAACAGGATTGATCACACAAACACAATAACTTTGACTTGGTAAACATCTTCTCCCAGTATGTTTTCATCCCTTGTCTCTGAGACAATAAATTTAACTTCACATTTCTACTTCTCAGTAGCTTTGGGGAGTTGTCATATTCCTCCCATGCAACAGAAAACAGAAGGAAGCAAACATGATCATCAATTGGTGTGCCAGTAAAGCATCTGGCCCTCAAGACTTTATCCAGGCTGCCATAGTACCATGCCATAAAAAAAGGGCCAAATTGATGTAATCTCCGTCAGTTTAAGTAAGAATATATTTCTTGTTTGACCTAACTCAATGAACAGCGATATCAAAATTTACAGATACTGACCATTGCAAGAAGTTGCCCAAGACATTCTAAATTTTGAAATGAATAAAACAAGAAACCAAGGCTTTCTAAATTTAGAGATAGAAAAGTCACCGATTTTTCACTTCAGTACTTCGCATTGGAAGATAATCATCAGTAGTGATGGCCGCAGCTGAAAACTTTCCTCTGCCAACCCTGTACAAGCACTTTTTGGCGTTAGTGTGTTGCTTTTGGAAGTAGAGCAGAATATCAGGCAGAATAGACAGGCTGAAACAAGGGTGCAAAAATGAAAGCTAAAACCCATGTCCAGTTCTAACAATGGAAGGAAAACTGCACATTACAGAAGGATGACAATCCTGAATAATCAAGATGGGAAGCTGTGCATATTGTATGACAAATGAAACATATTATAAACACAGCCTCTTGAATAAAACAAGTGCAAAATATAACACTGCAATGGAACCTTCTTGAGTACCTACCAAGATGTGTGTGGCTCAGGAAATACGTTGGCGCCGCCTACTGGTACTACTTATTTCTTGTTTTTTCCTTGAGAAAGAGGCTTCATAGCTACTGATTCTATTACTAGAAACAAAGGATTTGCAAAGATTGACTAATTATAGCTCAAATACAGACTCGGTCCACCCACCACATTGTCTGGTGCCTCCTATTTGATAAGTTGCTAGTATAAAATCTGCTTCCTTAATAAATAAATAAAAGGCAACCATCACACTGGAATAGTTTTACAGCCAAACAGCTCCCCACATGTTTGGTGCCAACTAAAGTAAGAGCAAACACGCTGTCATTATCCTTAATTTAGCACTCAAAACAAAATACACTAACTATTCTGAGGTCCAAGTCTAGAACTACAGCTAAATAACTAATCCAGTTCTGTTCATTTCTGCCGGGGGGAAGCCAATTCTCGCTGGCCTTCTATTCACTATCCACCCAATCTCACTGTCTCACTGACTAGTATCCAATGGCCGAACAAATCCAGGAATCTCAACCGAAATTCGCACATAAGTACTCTCATCAGACTGTTCCGATTTTAGTAATCAACAAATCGGTTATATACACTAAAAAAACGTAGTCACAGAGACCGGGGGGCAACCTGTGTGACGCGAGCGCCGCGGCGGTGGAGCGAGAGAGCGCCAGGCGCGGCGGGGACGCTAGAGCGCCAAGGCCCTTCCAGCCGAGGCGGACCCCCGGGGTAGCCGTCGGCTGCGCCGCCATCATTGTTTCGTCCCTCGAGTGAAACCAGCGAACCAGGCGAGGGTTTTGGAATTTGGGTGTGGGCGTGGCTGACGCGGTGACGCCGTAGGCAGACGGGACTAACGGCTTCTAACCCGTCTGGATGCGCTGGGCTGGGTTGGGCTGGTCACGTCTGGACGGCACGGTACGGTGTGGCCTGGGCCCCTTTTTTATAGAACAGTGGCCTGGGCTTTTCGACTCGCCCGTGGAAGAGGGAAAAGAGGGAAGTACATAGTTTTTTTCTTGCGAAATGTGGAAGTACATAGTAGTTTTCACTCCTGATTCTCAAAAAAAAAACTCCATTCTAAAAAAAAAATCACTTCTGATGAAATCCTCTGTGATGAATCACATCCATAGTGGTTTTGGGGCTGTTTGGATGGGACCCAGAGCTGCCCTGCCAATTTTTTGGTTGTTGACCGATGGGCTGGTAGGTGTTTTGAAGGGCAGTTTGGATCGTGGCCCACGGTCACCACGCCAAAATCTTGGCGTTGACTAACTGCATGGGTGAATGTTGGATTAAAGCCTAGCTTCCCTTTCCACGCCAATATTTTGGTCGTCTAGATTAGATATGATGCCCATGCGCCGACGAAGCGCGGGCGGTCGATTCCTCCGGCAAATTTTTGGCTCACTCTAATTTGGCGTGGTCATCCTAGGTGTAATCCAAACATCCCCCTATTTTTTCATATCCTTACCATTTTTTTGGTCATCTCTTGAGATTCTGCTGCAACCTATGGGTGAAACCCTGGTAGCAAAATCTTGTGCCAAAATTTTGGCAAACCCTCGTTTTTGTAGGGGTGGCATGGGCACCAACCAAGTAGCCCCATAGTTTTCACTCTTGAAATCCCCTGTGATGAGTCACATCCATAGTTGTTTTGGGGTTGTTTGGATGGGTGCCTAGAGCTATCCGGGCAATTTTTGGTCGTTCACCGATGGGTTGGTAAGTGTTTGGATCGCGCCTATCACTGCCAATTATTTTGTCACCCCTTGAGATTCTGCTGCAACCTGCGGGCGAAACCCTGGCGATAAAATCCTGTGCCAAAATTTTGGGGCAAGCCCTCGTTTGGTAGGGTTGGCATGGGCACCAACCAAACAACCCCTTTGACTCATTATGCTGACTGGGTTGTGACATGTTAGATGACGTGGCAGCGAACGGGTTGGGATGAAATTTCCTCATTTGTAGGCATGCAAATTTGAAACACGTGCCCTCAAATCAAATGAAATTTGGAACACGTGCACTCAATTAAATCAAATGAATTAAAATTTAAATATAATGTGAATTTTAGTTCATTTAGTCGAACTAAGGAGAGTCAAAGGGTACCTTCAAGATTCCAGATTTGCATCCTACCCATTTGCTCGATGAACCCTATCTCTACTCCTCTCCTCTCACGCACAGAAGGCAATTTGTGACAACCCTAGCTCCCATCACGCGCAACTCTCTCACTTTTAGAGATGACATTGTTCCTGCTAAAATCTCCACAAAGAACATTCTGCAAGTTTTCTCTCTTTGCATTTTTTGGTTCAAAAACTTGGACCAAAGGGACGCAGCTAGGTCCTAGCTGCTGTTCCTCACTTCCCATCTTGGTGCTCTATAGTACTCCCTCCGTTCGGAATTACTTGTCGCAGAAATAGATGTATCTAGACGTATTTTAGTTGTAGATACATCCATATCCGAGACAAGTAATTCTGAACGGAGGGAGTAGTATGTTGATGCAATATGTTAAAATAAGAGCTACAAAAGACAAACATATGGCTTTTTAGCACATACACCGTTCATCATTCACATATATAATTTTTTAGCGATATTTGAAACAGAAAATTTTCAAACTGATTTATTTTCATTAACAGGCTCCATGAAGCTGCCGTCCGAAACACCTTACTAAAATTTTCCCTATTCCTGGGTTTGCAAACAAAGGACGCCCTTCCCTAAAAAAAGAAGAGGCCCGACGTGGGCATCATATGCGCATAACTACGGCCATCGCCAGCGCCCAGCGAGCTAGATAGCGAGAGAATGTTAGGGCATATACAATGGTTGATAAGATAGTCTTATCTTAAGTTTTGCATGTAAATTAGAGATGACAAAACGACATGTCTACAATGAGTCATCTTTTAGTCTTATCTTCAATAATTAGTTGTTCCTAAAAACATAGTGAAACAAATTGTGCTAAGAGATCATCTCTTGTCTTCTCTTAAATAAGATAAAACAAGCCTTTTCTTATCATTTCTCTCTCCTTCACCTCATCATTTATCCTACCTGGCACTCTTAAGATAGAACCATTGTACATGCCCTTACAAGAGACTGGCTTGAATGTTTTTTTCTAAACAGAGACAAACAGATGCAGCGACCAGTTGGTCAGGTCTTGCTTTTTTCATGACACCACATCTACCAACCTCTGTGGACGAGATTAAATGGGTCAGTGAGTTTCGTGCTGAGTTCTTGTAGGTACTTTCGGAGGCCTAAACAAATACTCCCTCTGTGAAGACAATAGGTTTCAGTAATTGTTGTTTCGTTATGCAGGGAACTCCCAAGCTTGCCCAAACTGCTCGGCCTCATCTGACATGAGATGACGTGAAGCCGTGGACAACGCTCTTGGTGCAATACTGAATTTAAGCGCTCAACTTTTATATTCTTACATTGGAGGCCACAGCGCACTGCAGAGTGATCGAATCACATAATCTGCTTGTCGAGATCAGTTAATTTCTTTTAACATCATAGAAGTTTTCCTTTCTTGGGGCAGATGACACTTCAGTGGCCCTTCTTGACAGCATGTGATACCTCCAGGGAATGTAAAGCCTCCCTGAAAAACCATATTCCAACAATTACAGCGTATACAAAAGCATATAGCATATGCATGGTGCATGTTTAGATAATGCTCTTGTGTATTCAAGCACTATTTAGCATACAGGAGTTTCATAGTAGACGGTTCGGTTCAGCTTCCCTAGGAGTTCTGGAAACATCTCACGTCCCAAATGACAGGAAATAAAATCATCTACAAACTACTGGCTAGAAGTTCTTTGCAGATAAAAGAAGTCACCAGCAAGTCAATTAATGTGTTTCTAGATGACAGCTACAGATGATATGTACGTATTTGATTGAATTATTGTGCCGCACCGAATCTAGTGAATTTTGTCCTTCCAAACTAAGAATTCAATGGACGGGGAAGAGTAGGCTACCTCAAGGCGTTCTCAATCTCAGTGTTCAATGGGTCTAATTTGAGGCCATCAAGGAATGCATCACATGCCTTTTCATAGTCCTGAAGACAGAAGGACCACGGCATAATGACTCCTTCCCGGAAGCAGGCCTTCGGCCAGTCACGACGCAGTGCCCTGCAAATTTGAGCATCCCGCAAAGCTTTGTCTCCTTCACCCATGTTAAGCCAGCAAACGCTTCTATTTGCAATCAATGTTACATTCTCTGGGTAGTCACCTTCTGCCTACACCAACAAATCAAACCAGTAGTTATCACTTTTGCTAACTGGTACCACTTAAATAAAAATTCATCAGGGGCATTTGTATGAGTACAATTAAACTGGCAAAACTTTTTTGAAAGGGGTAAGTGCTAAGCTCTGCATAAATCGTATGATAAACCCACATACAGATTAGATAGGATGCAATTTTACTTTGTTATTAAGACTTTAAGCCATCCAAATTAGAGCCTTTCTAACCTACCTAAATTAAAATGGCAATTTGGTACGTATATGGCATGGCACCATATAACTCGTCAGCAAATCGGGCAGAAACATTCCCGAGGGGGTCCAATAAACCCTGGGATAATTTACGATCATTCAAGTTCACCACATTCTGAAGATCGTACCAAGCCACAACAAATGGCTGCCTTTTTTCTCCTTTTAAGCAAACAAAAGAGAAGGTAGAAGTTTAGGGCAACCTGCTTTTTAATTGACAGTACTGACTAAGGCAACAACACCTAAAGCAGCAGCAGGAAGTATGAAATACTGACAGCCAGATTGCACAAAGTTCAAGTGGCAGGAAAGGCTTTTCCTCTAATCACGATAAAAATGGCTTTCCATAGCATCCCAATCAAGAGACTGGCATTATTAACGTTTGGCAGATACCATGAACACACGTGTAAGCCATACAATTGCCGATAGATCACAATAATATTGATTTTTCTGAAACTACATAACTTTCCTTAAAATATCGCGCAATTGTAAACTAGGAGTGATAAGACAGCATCGTGGAAAATATACCATGGTGTAGAGCCTTGCTGCAGTAATATAGTCTTTTCTCTTGTATGCTTTGTTTCCTTCTATCTTCATATTAGATGGATTCAATTTTAAAATAGGGTCATCCTGTACAATTGGAGTATATCAGATACATATGGTTAAGACATATATGGAAAGGTAGCAGATATAATCAGCCAACTTAATATTAGCTTGACCTATGCGACTTGTTTATTTTTACATATCCCCCACTGGCCCACCCCCACCCAAACTCCGAACATGCACATAACGCATTCACAACTGCTTCCAAAACAGTGAAAGAACCTGTGTTACCCAATGCTGATACTTCTGCCGAGAAGCCATATCCGAAAATCTTGACCATTTAGGAATTACCACATAAACGTGGAATGGGAACACATTCAGTCATATTTCACAATTTCAGTGCTATTGTGCAAACTTCCAACTTCCCACTCGAATTATTGAAAAAGGGATGAACACACTAGGTAGCTAGACGTGACATAGTTTGTTAAATTTTAAATAAGCCACCTCACGCATTGAAATTACACCTTCTCCATGACCACTAAACTGCCGCATCCACCATCCAATGTGGAACTATCCGAGGTAAACATATGACTACACATTCATTTCTCATAGCTTTCACAAGTATCT